AACAACCGTTAAAACCAATTCAATTTGTTTTTTTCAAAAAATTCAGTTCAATTCGACCCATACACATCCCTAATTTTTGTGCTGTCTTTATTAATTAGTTGACTTGTTATAAGCTTCTAAAGTTACATTTAAACTAGCCTTCTACTTTTTCCTGAAACTTAGGTTTTATTTATTTATTATTCATTGACTGAAGTTTAATTAGGAAGAAAAAATGTTGTCCTATTTCAAATCAAGGACAAGTAATGAATTTGAATACGAACTTATAGTAGTAATTACATATAACTAAGAAAAGCCTATATATCTACAAGTATTAAACTTAAAATATCTTTATATCACGATGTTTAATCTACGAGTTGAGTATTGACAACGATGGGTTTGTTATGACATTTGACTATTTCATTACACATCCAGCAAAAACAATATTATACCCAATATATGATCTTGATAGTTGATTATAGCATTAATAAGAGTTGGAAAAATTGCGTACGTATAGACATTAGCATCATATTAAAGTTAAATCATTGGTTCTCAAATCATTGAATAAAATGTTATTTACTTTTTTTCACAAAAAAAAAAAGGGAATAACATCTATCTTTTCAAAGGATATAAATTTATATTCTTTTAGATCCTAACCGTTGATTTCCGTCCATCAACGGTTATAATTTATTGGATTAAAATTATTAATTAATTAATAATAAATTTGACCCATTAAGTTTGGCCCAATAGATTATAACCGTTGATGGACAGAAATCAACAATTAGGATCTAAAAGAATATAAATTTGTATCTTTTAAAAGGATATATGTTTTTTCAAAAAAAAATGTTATTTACTTTTGACCTTAGGAAAAAGAATGAAATGAGTTAGCGAATCAATTTCACTTGGCTTTTGACCAGTTTTTTTTTTTTTTTTTTTCTCAATTCCAAACACGCTTCTAATTCAGAGGTATATAGTGATAGTGGAAAAAATTTCTTTCACGTAGAGACGCCATAATAGTTAGAAATTTCTAAGGGACGTTTGCTTTGAGTACTAACTTCAATTTAAGGGCGACAATTTGGGTTGACCCGCCCCGCCACCAATTCGTCAAAAATGGGGCGGGGCGGGTTGACCCGCCAAAAAATATGGGTTGTAAAAATGAACCCATCCCGTTTTATGGTGAGTTGGCGGGTTAACCCACCAACCCGTCAATTAAAATTTTTTTAATTAAAATTCAAAAATAAATTATATTTTATGAATTTTTTTAATATTATTTTATTTTATTTCACACTTCTCTATATTTTTTTAGTCTCAATCTTAAATATATACTAATATTTGTCAAACATTCTTTAGGAATTTATAAATAGATAACATTTGTCATAAATAAAATTGTTATTCTTTATTTTTCTAGAAAGTACTAAGATAAAAAAAAATTTAATATCACAAAAATTTAAGTACTAATGAAATATTACCTAATTGTAAAAAAAAAAATAATAATAAAAAAATTTAAAACTCGGCGGATCAACCCGCCCCGCTGCGGGTTGAATCCGTTTTGACCCACTTCTAAGTGGGGCGGGTTGAGGTGGGTTGGTGGGTTGAAAATCTCAATCCAACCCGCCCCGTTTTGACGGGTTAACCCACCGGACTCAACCCATATTGCACCCCTACTTCGATTACTGATTTAGAATTAGAAGTCACCAAATTAAGAATACTAGTAACTAACCGCGCGTGGCTATCGGAAAAAATTACTATTTACATAAGAAAATTCTAAATAAGTAATTTGATCCATTTTAGTGTTTTTTTTACACTGTAATTTGATCATGAGTTATTATATTTGTACCAAAAATAAATAAAAATCATGAGTTGCCATATTTAATGAGCTTCACCTCTTGGATAATTGTTTAATTCATTTGTTTTTAATTTTTTAGGTGAACCTCTTGGATCGATAATTGTTACTATAATCAGCCTCTTTAAATGAATTAAACAATTATTACTATAGTCCATGCGGCATCTCTATAATTGTAACTATATCCCTTGAATTCTATAACAATAATAAATTAATTGGGAAATGTAATATTCTTTTATTAAGTTTTCATGTATTATAATTTTTATAAAATATAAATTTCAAAGAAAAAAAGAAAAGAGATATACATGATTAATTTTTTTTAAATGTAAACTAAAAAGTATTAATAACATGTATCATTTTTAAAAAAATAAAATAAAATTCATAATCATTTTCAAAAATATAAATTTTAATTTAATATGTAAAAAATATATTTATCCCATAATACATTTGTAACCTAGTTATATTATAAGATATGCCGTTTATAGAAATTGGATTTCGAAAAAAATAATTGTATTGTTTAAAAAAAAATAACGAACTTAAATTTTCTCATGTCAAGTTTTATTTTTTTAATGTATGAGATGAAAAATATGAAAACAATGATTGTATAACTTATTATTATTTATATAAGATTCATTAAATTTACTTTTTATATTTCTTTCTTTTATAATATTAAAAAGATGAAACCATCAAAATTCAGAATATAACTTAACATAGTTTAAATACTAAGTCCAATATATCACCTGAAGTCGGTTTTGAAATCATGTGTATTTCAAGGAATTTATTAATCTCATTTTACATTAGATGTTTATCTTATATTTATAAAAAAAAAATGAATGAATCTTACCGTTACAAAAAAAAAGATGAAGTACAAAAATTAAAATGAAAAATATAAAAAAAATTATTTTATATAAAAAGAAAGTAATATTTCCGGTATTTCAAAAGAGCCAAACCTATTCACTACATTATATGTTACTTAAATTTTACCAACATATTCAGTCCTTGATTGTCTCACTCAAGAAAGGACCGAAAACATGACAACTTCTTTATTGAGTTGATGCTGACTCTTAATTGTATCAGAAAGACCAAAACACTAAAATAATATTATAAAGTAAATCAAGTTTCCATTATATGCCAGTTTTACTTGAGTTTTTTTTTTTTTTTTTTTAAGAAAAAGAAAAGGTTGGTCCCTGTAAATTACAAAGAACTGAACTACTTGACATCACTTGTTATGCACACAGCACATTCTCCACGTGCACAAGGGACAAAACTTTGATACACTAGATATATCTAGTGGGTACATCTTTTTTCCATATTTAAAAAAATTCTCATAACTTTTAAATTTTTACATTGAATTTTTCTTTTCAAAAATAAAAATATAACCAATTAAATACATCTGATGTACTATAAATTTGTCCGTAAATAAGGCCTGTACGCAAACCAGTAAATGATAGACAATAAATGTTAAGGGAAAAGGACAATAGGAGGAGATGGCAACACTTTTAAGTAAATTAGCACAGAATTCCAGAAAACCAAATAAAAATAAAAATGCAAGGTGTCCTGCCCTAGAGCACCCCTGTCTTGGTATGAAACTTTGGTGGTTGAGCTGACACAAAAAATAAATAAATTGGAGTGCGGTGAATGAGACATAAAATGGTAAAGCTGTTGTTGTTTCAGTCATATTGGGTAAATAACATCCATTTGAATATATATATATATATATATATATATATATATATATATATATATATATATATATATATATATATATATGGGGGTAGGATCATTTGACACTGGTGTCAAATTTTAAGTTTGACACCTCATCTGAGAGCCGTTAGATCAAAAAATATCAACGACTCTGATTTGTAAGTATGTGACACCATTGATATTTTTTGATCTAACGGCTCTCAGATGAGGTGTCAAACTTAAAATTTGACACCAGTGTCAAATGATCCTACCCCTATATATATATATGAATTTATCATCTATCATTTAACATGACCACAAAATATTTTCTACACACACACAACATTTTGTGGGGCACGCAGCAAAAAAAAAAAAACTTTTGCACGCAAAACGAATCTCTATAACATAACACAATCACTTTTCCTACAACGTAACTCTTATAAAATCCTATATATATATATATATATATATATATAGGAAAAAATGTTTCCGCTGTTACTTTAGATAACTTTATCTAATGTTCATCGAAACGACGTCGTTTTGGGGTTGAAAAATTAAAAAATTAGAGTGATAAAGATTATTATAACCCTGAAATAAATTAAAATTACAAAAATACCATAATTTCCGTCCCAAAACAACGTCGTTTTGATGAACATTAAATAAAGTTATCTAAAGTAACATCAGAAAAAACAAACTCATATATATATATATATATATATATATATATATATATATATATGCAAAAATATTTATCTTTTTAAATGACACAACTTACTTCTTTTCTCACAAAGAAGTGGGACCCACACCTTTATTTTTTTTTGTCAACTCTCTCTCCTTCTTTATCTGTCTCTTTTTCTTTCTTAAAATGACATAACTTTACATCCTTTAAAATGACATACATTTTTCCCATATATATATATATGAAAAAATATTTCTGCAATTACTGCACATAAATTAGCTATATTTATTCTCAAAATGACATTGTTTTGGTATTGAAATCTTAAAAAATTATAAATATAAAGACCATTATAACCTTAAAATAAATTAAAATTATAAAAAACTATGATTTTCGCTGCCAAACGATGTCGTATTAAGTTTAGTACAGATAACTTATTTGCAGAGAAAAATAAACCCATATAATATATAAATGGATAAGATGTTCATATAAAAAAGAAAAAGATGAGATTTACTTTTTCTTTTCTTTTCTACCGTCTTCTTAGTGGGATCACTTAATTTTTTTTGTGTGGTGCATGTTACAAATCTCATCTAACATTATAAACATGTTTGGCTTTGAGAAATCAAACAAAAAAAGTAACAACCACGTTTCAATTTTATAACCCACAAACTGGAAAGCAACCTGCACCATTTCTTTTTGTTTAATACTTTTTTTGTAGTTGATCCAAACAAACATTATGTTGAGTATGTAACATGAAAAAGAGTTGCTCAAAACATTTTCAAACCACTAGCCAAAATCCTCTGCCTCAAGTTCAACTCTGTCATGGCAAAAACACTCGTGCTTCTTCTTCTCTTGGTTCTGATCCTTTTGGCCTCAAAACCTGCAAAATCTCAGCGTGACGAGCTCTTCTATGATGGTTTTGATGGTGCTGCCACCAACGTAACCTTAAACGGAGGTGCAGTGATTGAGCACAAGGGCATAATTCGCTTAACAAACGACACTCTCAGGGTAATTGGGCATGCGTTTCATTCAACCCCAATCAAGTTCAAGAACTCTTCCACAGACACCAAAGTTTTCTCCTTTTCCACTGCTTTTGCTTTTGCAATAAACCCCCAGTACCCAAAACTCGGTGGCCATGGCTTTGCCTTCACCATTTCTCGCTCCAAAGTGCTTCCAGGTGCGTATCCTAGCCAGTACATGGGACTCCTCAACCCAAACAACATAGGGAACATGTCAAACCACTTGTTCGCAGTGGAATTCGACACTGTTCAAGACTTCGAATTTGTTGACATCAATGACAACCACGTTGGTATCAACCTGAACAACATGGTATCCAACAAATCGGTTGAAGCCACTTTTTTCATTGACGGTTCAAAGAATAATAAGCAAGACCTCAATTTGAAGAGTGGCAAGGTGATTCAAGCATGGGTTGACTACGATTCCACTATGAATCAATTGGAAGTTAGACTCTCCCCAACTTCAACAAAACCCAGTTCCCCAATCTTGTCTTACCAAGTGGATCTCTCACCAATTCTCCAAGACTCTATGTATGTTGGGTTTTCTTCTTCAACAGGGTTGCTCAAGAGCTGGCACTATATCTTGGGTTGGAGCTTCAAGATCAATGGAGAGGCAAAAACCCTGTCTTTGGAAACACTCCCTTCACTCTCTTCACCCAACAACACTAAAAAGGCCTTAATTTTAGGACTCTCTCTTTCTGCTGCGATTGTAACACTTGCGGCAATTGGGTTAGCATTGTTTTATCTGATCAGAAAGATGAAAAATGCTGATGTGATTGAAGCTTGGGAATTAAATGTTGGTCCCCATAGATTTCCATATAAAGAACTAAAGCAAGCCACAAGAGGGTTCAAGGACAAAAACCTAATCGGGTTTGGTGGGTTTGGTCGAGTTTACAAAGGGGTTATCCCAAAAACCAACACCGAAATCGCAGTGAAACGAATCTCCCACGAATCAAAACAAGGGTGGCAAGAGTTTGTGTCGGAAATCGCAACCATAGGTAGGCTTCGACACAGGAACCTAGTACAGTTACTAGGTTGGTGTCGAAGGCGTAACGATCTACTATTAGTCTACGATTTCATGCAAAATGGTAGCTTGGACAAGCACCTATTCGATGAAGCAAGAGAAATATTGAGGTGGGAACAAAGGTTCAAGATCATAAAGGGTGTGGCTTTAGGGCTTGTGTATTTACACGAAGAATGGGAACAAACGGTGATTCACAGAGACGTTAAAGCTGGGAATGTTCTGTTAGATGCAGAGATGAATGGGAGGCTCGGTGATTTCGGTTTGGCGAAGCTATACGAGCATGGTTCGAACCCAACAACGACAAGGGTTGTTGGAACATTGGGTTATCTTGCACCTGAGTTAACGAAAACAGGGAAACCTACGACAAGTTCTGATGTGTTTGCGTTTGGTGCTGTGTTGCTTGAAGTGGTGTGTGGGAGGAGGCCCATTGAGCCCAAGGCGTTGCCGGAGGAGCTTGTTTTGGTGGATTGGGTGTGGGAACGGTGGCGCGTGGGGGCGGTGTTGGGGGTGGTGGACAACAAGTTGGGTGGGGTGTTTGATGAGGTGGAGGCGTTGTTGGTGCTCAAGTTGGGTTTGTTGTGTTCCAATGAGTCGCCGGAAAAGAGACCTAGTATGAGGCAGGTGGTGAGGTACTTGGACGGCGAGGTGGAGCTGCCGGCGGTGGAGGACGTGTTTGATGGGAAAAAGGTTGGTGGTGTAGCCACCGTTGTTGTTGGTGGTGTTGAGGATTTTGTGCATTCGTATCCAACGTCGTCGATTTTTGATAGGGCGAATACGTGGTCGTCAGCCGGTGATGACGTGGAGGGTGGCTCCGCTTCCTCTCTTTCACTTTCCGGTGGTCGGTAGTTTGTTCACGTAACGTATTAGCTTAGTTGGCGCATGAGAACTTAGAGAATGTAGCATGAAAAGCTTAATTAAGCAGGTATTCTATGCTTAGGGGTTCAAAGTCTTAATCTTGATTCGTCAATGGTCGCAAAACGATTGAACAATTGGAATTTAAAAAAAATAAAAATCTTCCAATAGATTATATTTTATGTCTGTCCCTGCCTAGTTTTTATTTTCACTCTTTTTTTTTGTATTGTATTGTATTTTTTTTTTCTGTGGTTGTCTCTTTTGATATGTAATTTTGTTTCAACATGATAAAAGATCAACTCTTTTGATTGTTTTATCTGTTTTTTTTTTTTTCATTTTAATATTTATGTAGTATTATACCTATTTTATATAATATAATTTTATAAATTTAAAAGCTTGTAAATCGTGTTTAAATTAATTTTTTCCCTCAAAATTTGTATTTCTTATAAATGCACTGAGAGTTGAGAGTAGAGGTGGCAAAGTGGGCGGCTCGCCCCGTCCTACCTCGCCATCAACCCCCGTCAAAAAATGAGTCAGTCCGCCTCACCCCGCTTTTGAAAGTGGGCTGAAAAGTTTGGCCCGCCAACCCGAGCCTATTTTACACTGATCCACCTCGGTTCGCCTATGCCTGTCATCAACCCGCCAAAAATGAGCCCGTCCTGCTTTTGAAATGAGTTGAAAAATTTAGTCTGATCCACTCCGTTTGACGGATTGAACGAGTTGGCTCGCCGAGCCGAGATCGTTTTGTCCGCTCCAGTTGAGAGTAACATCATCCATGCTTTAATGAGCTTCATGAATTATAAGTTTAAAAAGAGCTATCATTGTCATTGTTAATGACCAAACGTGACTGTTGTTTTCTTTGTCAAATTGGCAATGCTAGAAATAAGAATATACTGCCAGTGTGCCACCTTTGTCTGCATACAATATATCTCAGCACGTGAGCACAATACAAATGTCCTAAAACTAGTTATTATTGTTTTTTTTACTTGATCCAAACAAGATGATAAGAAGTATTTCCTTTTGTGGACTCAAAAGTCAAAACATTCATAAATAATGACTCATTCATCTGATAACACCAGTTTGGATGTATTTTATTTTATTTTTAATAAAAAAGTGCTATTTCCTTTCGACAAAATGGTACTCGAAAGATTCTCTCTCACACCCTCAGCTTGGACCACATTATCTTATGTCGTGTTGTTCCAGTGGGGGTGGTAGGCGAATAAATCTTAGTATTACTACTGTACCAAAGATTTAGTGTATTCTATCAATGAAAATATTACATGTCAGTTAAATTTATTTATTTTTTCTGTCAAATTTTGTTTCTCTTCTCTAATGTGTAATGTTCTCATTGATGAGATGCACTGAATCTAAGTACAACAGTAGTACCAAAAATTTATTCGTGGTATGCTCCCCCATTACACAAGAATTTCTCATAATATTGAAACATCAGGTAATTCACAAGTTGAAAAATATGTGCACAAAATGAAAAATTGAAGATTCCACTGGCCCTTTACCATTCTATTTATTCAGTTTGCAAGAGCTGTACACTCCAGTGGTGCAAGAACAGTGGAGGTAACTGTACAAGAACATTTCAAATCATGCCACTATATATATATATCTAACAATAACTAGGATGCCCTCACCTGTCTGTCCATAAGGATCCTCTCCAGTTTCCCTCTATTTTCAAGATTAATTTCTACCAACTAGTATTTGGGAAACATTCCAAACATTTGGATATTACACTTTTTCTGTACTAGGCAATAATTTAGAAAGCTGTCTCTACATACAAAAGCATGGTTCTTTTGATCATGCGCTAATGGTTTACCAACTTGTCTCCGGTATTTTCATCCTCGCCATCTTTCATGCAACTGAAAATCTCATTATCATCAAAACCTACAAAAAAGATGAAAACAGGTTAATTAATGACATTTTCTGCAGTGCAGTTTCCATATCCATTGAAATACATAGAATTTACCTCCACTCAATTCTTCAACTTCATCATTTAAAGGCCTTAAAAGCATCGTGTTAACAGAAGACGGATCCAATGCCATCCAATCTGAGTTCCCACACTCTTCTAAGTATAAATCCCTTGGCCTGATCCAGTCTTCAACATTACTAATGTTGTCAGATGATAGGGGATCACTAAAATCTTGTTCTTTATTCATAAACCTGAAAGAAAATTAAACACCACAAAATGAATTCCCTTCAACTGCCAACTCATTAAAACAACCTATCAATATATAGAACAGTTTAAGCTTACGTTTGTCTTAATCGTAAGTTGTAATGAACAAAGACAAGATCAGTAAGATGTTGGCGCTCTATATAATTCCTTGTATGGATCATTTGTTCGAAAGGAATCTGGTTTCTCTTGCAGGCCATCACACTGCATGTTTGACTGAGAATACGAATTGCTAGACGTGACAAATTAGGGCAGCCTCCTCCATATGTCGACCACCATTCGGCTAGAAAAAATAGCATATGTTAGTGAAAGGGGCAGTATTTTAAGGAGTCATGAGAGAAAGGAAATACTCAAACGGATGTCTTAAGTAATGCAAATTTTAATTCTCATGGACAAAAGTCACATTTATAGAACCAAACCAGTGTCTGAGTATTCCAGACAGGTTTATGTCAACCTTTGCAGAATTTGAAAATAATTATGCTGACACAGATACTACAACCTAAACAATCTTTCAACCACAATGATAAATTTGTACTTACATGTGCAATACATTCAGACAAAGAAAATTTCAATTTTAACTCATACAACATTGGTCATCATGTCAAAGCATAATTTTTTCGATGAAGTTACCTAAATTTAGGAAAGTTAAATCACAACATGACAACTGAATGTACCAATCTTATCTAAGAGAATGGGTTATTGGCCTCTTACAAGGAAGCAGATTATCTCTAGCTCTGACTGCCATCTTTCTCCCAAAGTCTCCTGCAGCAGACTTGTATAAGTTTATCTCTTTGATAATTTTATCTTGGATTCTTGTATCAGGTACCAATCTCTCTATGCAGTCAAACATCCCTGAGAGAATCTCATTGTGTATATCCCCTTGAATACTATAGAAGAACTTTGGATTAAGGTAGAAGCCTGCAGCATGAAGAGGATGATGCCACAGCCTTTCCCATCTATGATGTATAATATTCCAGTACACCATATAATCCTCCCTCTTAACAAGTGCTTTCTTAATTGCTTCTTTCGCCCGGTACATTCCAGCATAAATGTATCCCATTGCGGGTCTCATCTCACTAGCAGCTATTCTCAGAGCTCTCAAGAGAGGAACTGTTAGACGAACAATCATGTCACAGGAGGACCAAAATGTTTGATTGCTTAGGCAATCTAACATTTCCAGACCTGCTGGTTTCTTTGAGTATGGGCTATCCATCCACTCCTGGGAAGTGACCATGGCCTGTAAATTGTGTTTAAGATCAACCATTCGTTTCAATGTGGTAAAGTTTGTTGCAAAGCAAGAGAAAGAGGGATCCACAATATCATTCCCTAACGTATACCTTTTAACCATGTTCAAAATTGCACTACAATTGTAGACAAATCTTGTTATAGATTTAGCTTGTTCAATGACTGCACTAATCCAATCAAGATTTCCAAAATCTTCAAGTATCAAATCAATGCAATGAGCTGCAGAAGGACTCCAGTAAAGGGTAGGAAAAGTGTCAGTCAGCCGTCTCCCAGCAGCCGCATATTGTTCTTCACCTGATGTAATCACTTGCAGCACTTGCCCAACTCCAACTTCTTCTACTACTTGTTTTAATATCTCATATAGAAATTCTGCAGAAGTCGAAATCTCAGTTGCATCCAAGGATTTCAAAAAGACTATTCCTTCAGGACAATACGCCAAAAAGCATATAAGTATTCTACCAGTTTCTGTAGTCCATTGGTCAACCAAAATAGAAGAGCCAGTCCTACCCCATGTCATCTTGCATCTATCTACATCATTCTTCACTTCTTCCAGAGAGTTTTTCAGGATCCAACCCCGAAGTTCATGATGTGAGGGACGTGCAAAACCTGAACCCGCCGAAGCAATGGCTTCAACCATTTGCTGAAAATAAATCGAGTTCACAGCATCAAAAGGTGCACCAATATCATACAAAAACCGACCTATTGCCATATGAATGTGATTGTCCACCTTTTTGGGGAACAGTACATTTTTCTCCATAGCAACAACACCCTCAGAATTTGCATAAGCAAGTGCAGACTTCTTGCTGGCTCTTATCTTCTTCCTTCTTTCTACATTTTTACTCATTCCTTCACCAGCATTCACCACCAGATTTAAATTATGTTCCAATGAATTATGTGCTCCAATGGACTGGAGCCCGTCATTCACATCCACCTGATTGGCAACTGTGTTCACAATAGTAGCCAAAGGATTAACATTCATAATCTCATCCTCAATTTTCTGCTTCTTCCTCTTTTTCACCACAACCCCATCCAAGCTCTGCTGCATATGAAGCCTAACATCATGAGGGACACGGCTGCAAGTGGATGCATTCCCTTTCTGACAAGCAAGATGTTCCTTAATCCTATGAATCCCACCACCCTTAAACATCTTGAGACAATATATGCACTTCAGTTGCACCTTGTCCCCATTCTTAAACATCTGAACATGCTTCCATGCTGGGTCATGTTTCTGGGATGTAATTGGCACTGGTTCCAGATTTGAACCCATTTTCCCAATAATCACATCAACCACTGTGGTAACAAGATTAACAAAAGAAAGTGTGATTACAACAACAACAACAAGCATTTTCTCATTCTCAAAAAACTGAAACTAAACCCCAACCCAGTTTTTTAATCCAATACCTACAGTGCCAGATTGTTGTAAAGTTTCAATCTTTGCAGCCTAAAACTACAGTGTCTCAATTAAAATAACACCAAAATTGAAGAACAAAACCAGAGAGATGAGGCAAAAGAAAAAGTGCATACCCGGTTTTGTTGAATCGCTTTTTTTTTTTTTTTAATTGAAGGAAGAATGGGGATTGTGAGAAAAGAGAACCGTGGAGAAGTAACCGGACCGGTTAGGGCAGAGAGAGAGAGAGAAGATCCGGTTGAGTTGGCTTTGAATGGATCCGGTTTCGGCGGTCAAAAGTTACTGGCCGGACCGGTTTGTTTCGCCACAAGGAATTGTAAAAACCGTGATTCGTGCCGATCCTCTCTTCCGGAGCCGTACTCTCTGTTGCTTCAATATATATATATATATATATATATTATGGGTTTTACAATATAAAAGTTGTTTCGTTATATTATAGCGATAATAATAATGGGATCCATTGCTATTTTTTTTTAAAAATGTGGGACCCACCATCATTTATTGTCTTTATAATATAACATTTGAGATATGAAATTATTATTAATTAGTGTTATTCTCAATATCACTACTAATTTATTTTACTTTTAGATCGATTATGTTGATCCAACGATTTTGATTTAACTTTATAAAAGTCTTCTTTCTTTTTCTTATTTTTAGTACTTTATATTTATATCTACCATTGTATGGTTATGATGCTCAATATTTAATGTTTTCATATAAAATATGAGAAATCATAACTATATAAAGGTGAAAATAAATATAATCGTTGGATCAACATAACCGATCAAATATAGTAAAATAAACTGCTAGTAACATTGATAATAATAACACTAATTTGTAATAATAAAATTAATTGGTAATAATAACACTAATTGATAATAATAATAATAAAAGTTATATTTATCTCATTTTACATGAGATAAATAATTTTTCTACACACATAAAAGAGGGGTGGGTCCCATCACTTTTTTTCTCTCTTCTCTTACATGTGAGACTCACTTGTAATTTAATTTCTTCAACTTGAGATAATAACTTTCTTACAGCATAAGAAAAGTATTTCCTAATAAAAATATCTTATCTCTTTATAAAAACCTTTATTTATTTATTTGTAGTGAAAAAACAAAATTCAAATCATGAATAAAGCAATCTGTAAAAGAGATTATTCTTCGTGATAACACGAAGAATTAATTTTACAGCAAAAAATAAAATATACGAAATCTTACTATTAAATTTTAGATCATATGCAAATTAAATTTTAGAGTTAAAAAATATATAAATTCATATATGACGCTAGTATTAATCTTTAGATCATGCGTAAATCAAATTGTAGGGTTGAAAAATACAAAATTAAATATAATTCTAGTATTAATCCCCCCCACCCCCCACCAAAAAAAAAACAAAAAAAAAAAAGGATAAAATAGAAAAAAAGCTTTGACCAATGTGCAATTTACTCTCTATTTTTTTTTTAAAAAAAAAGGTATAGAAAAATACTTAAACTGTACTAAATAAATGGATAGAAAATTTTATTGAACTTTATTATTGTAGAAAAAAAACTGAATACATCATAAATTTACTCCATTAACGAAAAATATCATATGTAAATACTACATAACATATTACTAGATTAAAATATTTTAAATTCAATTTTTATTAATCTAAATTAATTATGAAATAACCTCTCATTCCTTGAATTTAATATAATAAGAAAATAAATAAATTATATAGAATTAGTCCCACTTAATTTTTTCATTAATTTAAATTTTATTCCCAAGACAGGATTTTTTTTTAGTTCACTGTAAGGAGATTAATCTATGAAAAGAATTTGATCAGAATTGTAATTAGTTAATATTAATTAGCCAACTGTTAATCAGTTTCATCTTGTTGGTTACTTTTTTATGTATGTGTGTATCGAAAAAACTCATTGTATATCGCGGCCCCAAAACATTTTTAATATTACTGTCGTATTGAGTAGTGAGTATTATTTCCATTCAAAATTTAAAATGAAATTATTAATTATATATTTTCGAAAATACATAAATATATTAAAAAAAATTCTCTTTTTTTCAAAAAATATGTCAGCACACAGGTATGTTTCTATTGACCGTACTATTGTAGTATATTAGATATTTCTTCCCAAAAAAATAAAAAATTAAGTTCGTGAAATCCATAAAAAAAAGAACTTAATTGTTTGCTCATAAAAAAATTCATTTCATTTGAATCCATAAAAATTCATTTGATTTAAAATCTTACGTGGCTAGAGGAATAAATGATCCATTCACGCTACTCAATTCAATTGATTGACATAGGAATCTCCCTTTTAAGTTCATTTAAAATAAAATCAAGAGGTAAGATATATTTATTATATATTTTTTATTATTAATTATTTTATTGTTGGATCAAAATTAAATCAATAATTTTTATTAATTTAATATTATTTTGTAATTATTAATTTGATTTTAATCCAACAATAACAAAATTGGTATTAAGAAAAAATAATAGTAAATATAATCTATCCCTCAAATCAAACGGGTAACAATTCAAATTGAGTGAAGCTTAATAATTTTTAAAAAAATTAAAAAATATAAAAAAATTCATGAATATTTTATGAAACTCACATGGCTAGTTGATAGAATACGGGGAGCGTGTTCATTTATTTTCAAAATCACTTTTCTTTTATCACTCATAAATATATATATATATATATATATATATATATATATATATATATATATATATATATATATATATATCCATGCATTCCATTTTATTTTTTATATTTATCCCTGCGTTCCATTTTACGTACTTAATTTCAGGTAACAATTTTCGTAATAAATAACCTTGCTCTTACTAAAATTACATTAGCAAGTAAGAGCTAAAGCAACACCTTTTTTTTTAAATAGCTTTTCAAGGATATTAAATCTCATATCCCAATAAAAAAAATTTGGAACAAAATGATAAATGACAAATAATTCTTTCATGTCTAATTTAAAAGTAATAAATAAAATCAATATGTAGTTTTTTTTTTTTTTTTAACAAAATTTAATTACTCAAGTAAAGAGGAAACGGTTCAAAGGGGTTCTAGTATGTATCTGCTTTAGCAAACCGTTTTCAAACATTAGTAGAAAATGGCTAAAAAGAAGGAAACTAATAAGAACCTCATTCCCCAAATTGCATGTACCATGATGACATAACATAAGGCACTTCCACAATCATAGAAGTGAAAGAGCACAAACGGTTCCACATTCCAAAACCCAATGCATCACTTCATTTTCTTCTGCATTCTCATCTCCATCTCCTTCACAGGTATTCATTCTACTTTCATTACATTCCATTAATACTTAAGTTAAACAGAAACTGTCTCATTACATTAAATTATTTATCTTTCATCTTGCAGAAGTTTGAGATTGTTTAGACTTGAGAGCTTATGTTATTGTGGTAATTATGTTACAGATGGGACAAGACTCATAATGGTAAACAACTGCAAAGAGAGTGTATGGCCTGGAATTCTTGGCAATGCAGGACACCCTTCTCTTAAAGATGGTGGATTTCACCTTGGAAGTGGTGAAGAGGTTGTTCTCCAAGTCCCTAAGTGTTGGTCAGGGAGAATCTGGGGTAGACAAGGTTGTTTCTTCGATGAACACACAGGGAAAGGTTCTTGTCAAACTGGGGATTGTGCTGGCCTTTTACAATGCAGGGGAATTGGAGGAGTCCCTCCTGCTACCCTTGTTGAAATGACCCTTGGAACCTCAAATTCACCATTGCATTTCTATGATGTTAGTTTGGTTGATGGGTTTAACCTTCCCTTGTCCATGAAGCCTTCGGGTGGTGGTGTTATAGGTTGTGGTGTTGCAGCATGTGAGGGTAACTTGAATGTTTATTGCCCTTCTGCACTTGTTGTGCATCATTATGGGAAGGTGGTAGGTTGCAAGAGTGCTTGTTTGGCTACAAGATCAGATAGGTATTGCTGCACTGGGGACTATGCTGACCCTACAAATTGCAAGCCAACAGTGTTTGCTCGTCTTTTCAAGACTATATGCCCTCAGGCTTATAGCTATGCTTATGATGATTCAGCAGGACTTAAGACTTGTAATGCATCTCAGTATGTCCTTACATTTTGCCCTCCACACTGATTTGTGTATAAAAACCTAAAAAGGGGTCTTGGTTAAATGATGTTGTGGGAATGTGATTTCAGTTTCTTTTTGTTCTTCAGTCTGATTATTGTGATTGTCTTTTATTTTAGTCTTGGCAGTTTTCAATGTTAGTTATTCATAGTGCTATTGTCATATGGGATTGTGATTATGTATGATGCTCAATTATATCCTTTATTAGATTGTTAATTGAGCCTCTTATTATATCATTCAGTGTGGATTCTATTGGCATGCTAATTAAACTTTACAGCTTATGCTGTACCAAAAATTGTATCTGACATGATAACTTACCTGACAACTTGAGAAAATATTATGAACAAATCTTTGGTGCATCAAATATATTCAATTGGGTGTATTTTTTTTTCAAACAAATTTCACCACTTTTGAAAAAATAAGTTCCGTTGCAATTAAAAAAAAATTCTCTGTGAAAAAAGAAGAAGATGTATCCAGTTGAGTACATCTAATGCACCAAAGATTTGTTAATAGTAATAATTATTATTATTACACTAATTTATGCCTAACCTTTGAAACATACTAATAGTTAAACTCTACAAAATAATGAAAACAAGTTAACAATTTTAAAAAAAATATTAGCATGAAAATGAATTCTAAAATGAAAAATGATGTTAAAAAAGAATGCGATCAATAGCACTCAATTCTCAATTTGTCCAACCGCCAACCCATTTATGTGAAAGCTATGCAGGAGTGAGAAACGCCACTTTACACAAAATTAGTTTCAGCCCATTTCAGGATACCCAGGTTCCATCTCATTTTGCGCAAGGCCCATCAGTCCTGGGTAAATTGGTGATGAAATGCAGGACCATATTTCAGGAAATTGTTAAATACTTATATACACACATGACGGAATTTGAACTTTTTCTTTTCTTTTTTATAAGTTTGTTGCGAAATCCATCATTTTGCATCTTATTTCAGATATTCCTTTTCAGCTTCGAATTATGCACCAAAATCCATCGGTGAATTCTCTTTTAAAAGAACTGACAAACATATATATATTATCTCCCTCACATATATGGCAAAATGTTTGTAATTTTAAAGGATATAATTTTGTGTTATTTTAAATGAAACAAAGTCGTTTTGATGCATAATTGATAATTTTTTACCTTCTCCCTCCTCCATAAAATTAGGAAGAGAGAGAAAGTTGAGGAGAGAGAATATAAAATATCACCAATTATGCACCAAAACGACTTCGTTTCATCTAAAATGATATAAAATTATATTCTATAAAAGAATAAAAGTTTCTCTCTCTCTCTCTCTCTCTCTATATATATAGGGGACGGATCCGTTTACAAACTTTTTTTTTACAAATTACAATATGTACTTCTAGGAGTACATAATGTAGTTTGTAAATAAAAAATTTGTAAATATAACCCTCCCGATATATGTGTGTGTGTTTGTATGAGTGTGTGTGTAAGGGGGATATTCTTACTACCAAAATTTTTCATTACCAACTTACTACCTATCTAATCACCATTGAATCAAAGAGAGAGAATGCTGAAAAGTTTCTAAAAAGAGAGAAAATGGTGATTAGATAGGTAGTAAATTGGTAATGAAAAATTTTGATAGTAAGAATATCCTCATCTATATATAGGGTATTACTTTCCTCATGTTAAATGAGAGAGAAATCCCCTCATGCTGTGACGTCTGACCGCTTCAAGAATCAATGACTATCCCTACATACTAATACGAGACTTTTCAGTGTGCTTTTTCCTCACTCGCACATTTCTTGGGAAAACTTCTCAGGAGGTCACCCATCCCAGAATTATTACAAGTCAAGCACGCTTAACTATGGAGTTCTTTCGTTCAGGGCTACCGGAAAATAAATGCATCTTGTTAGTATAGGTAGTATCAATTAATTCTTATAAACTATCCCAAACTGTGCAGTCTCATACTTGCACAGTCTTTGGAATCCCTCTCTTTCGGGTGTCGATTCGATTCATTAAAGTACTCCCGCCGTGGGAAGTCTGCCAGGAGCCGCTCCTTGTCTGTGCCCTTTCGCACCGGCGATCACTCATCACCCTCGTCAGCGTCCGAGATGTTACACATGCACATAGAAAGTGCAATGTGGCTCTCACTTTGTGTTTTTCTCTTTCCTCTATTTAGTGGAACCCACATTGCACTTTGTATGCTCATGAGAGGATTTCTCTCTAATGTAACATGAGAAAAATAATACCCACATATACATGGGTTTGATGTTTCTCATATTGTATGAGATAAATTTATCTCCTACACACACCAAAAAGTGTATGGAACCCACGTGGGTCCCAAGTGAGGAGAAGAGAGAGAAAAATTAAAATATGGGTCCTATACACTTTTATAAGTGTGAAGAAGATAAATTTATCTCCTGTCACAGACTCACAAGAGATAAAATTATCTCCTGCAACCCCAAAACTACGTTGTTTTGAGGGTTAGGAGAATTAACAAAGGGTGTTTCAATAATTTTATTTGTTTCTTTAGTATACGAATTTTATCAAAACACCCTTCATTAATTCCCTCAACTCTCAAAATGACGCAGTTTTGGGATTGTAGAAAATAATTTTATCTCATGTGACAGAAGGTATATAGGTTAATTACTTCTATTACTGCAAGAGAAGTAATTAACTTTCATGTTGAACATACATGTGTGGGTCCACACAATAAAAAAATGAAAAAAAAAGCTAG